CTGTCCTTTGCGTCCTCTCTGTCCTCTGTTTGCAGGACCACGAGGTGAACGAGTGTCTGAAGCAACTCATGATGTCCTTACTCAGGGCCTACCGCTTCTCCCCCATCATCCCAGACTTGGGCTTCCAGGTAGGACAAACAAACAGAGCCCCACAGGTTTTATAAGGTCAGGGGGCGGGGCCTGCAGAGCGACCTCACTGACACAGGAGGTTCATCTTCAGAGACCAAACTTTAAATGTTTGTGTGCAGGTGGCGACAAACTTCATCTAAAATCTTTTTTTTTTTTTTTCATGTCACGTGTTTCCAGATGTTCTCCAGCTGATGTGCTTGTGTTTCAGATCCACTACCTGCGGCTGACCACGGCCATCCTGCGCCACGAGAAATCCAGGAAGTACCTGCTCAGCAACGTCTTATATCCTTCAGCCGCCAAGCGAAAGCGCTCTGTGACATTTAAACCGCTGTCGCGGCATTCTCCTTAACCGAAGCTCACGTTCGACGTTCTGCGCTCGGTTGTGTTCTTTTACATCAAGACTCCTCTGAGAGTGAAGGAGGCGGGGCTAGAGGAGCTCATCCCAACCACCTGGTGGCCCACGCACTTCGACAAAGAGGTGAGAGAAACCGAGGCTCTGCCGCTTGCGTCTCCTCGCTCCTGACGAAATGTTATCGAGTGTGTCAAAGTCATTAAGCTGAAAGCAGCGAAGCGCAAACAGAGAGAGGCCGTTTACCTCTGTGACGTGCGCAACGACAAATCAGATGTGACGTAAGAACTGACCGTGACAGACGAACCGCAGGCTCCTCAGGGGAAGGCTGCAGCCATCAGGTGTTTACAGCAGCACAGGTGTGAGAGCTTTAAACAATGCTTCTTTATCAAACAGGGTAAAGACGAGCGCGAGCCCAAAGACGAGAGCGCCGACGAGCGTCTGAGGCGCCGAGCCTACGAGAGAGGCTGCCAGAGGCTGAAGAAGAGGATCGAAGGTCGGTCTCCGTCACTCAGCCGTGTTCTGTTTTAGTACTTTACTGTTTTATTTTGGTGTTTCACTGAGTTCCTGTCTTTGAGACCACCCACCTGTCTGCTTACCTGGACTGTCTGTGTGCGCTCCTCTGACCTCTGACCTCTGTTCTCCTGCAGTGGTGGAGGAGTTGCAGGTTCAGATCCTGAGGCTGCTGCTCAACAACAAGGACAAGAGCACGGTGGGTGCAGCGCCGTGATGTGTTGGTGATGGCGACCGCGGTCAGGACGCTGCTCTGATGTTTGCGGTGGCGAGACGTTTCAGCGTCGGTGTTTCTGTCGGGTGGAGGTTCAGGTGTTCGGCTCAGATCAGATACCTCAGCTGTGCCGGCTCTCCTGCAGCACCGTAGCACGTATCCAAGCAACTGCCAACGAATTCACGGAGCGAGCGCTCGAAGCGATAACGGCCCGGGCTCGGAGTCGCTTTGCTTCAAGCATTTATTTTAAACCAAATCACGTAACCGGGAGGAAACGGCACCTCGGCGTGAAGGTGACGACCAACCGTGCTATTCACCCCGCTGCTCTTTCGTTCCTGTAACTGTAAGATCATCAGGAAACACGTTGTATCATAGACCCATTTTTAGTTTTTTCTTGATGGTGATTTAAAGAAAGTCTTTTCAGTCACAGACACGAGAGCCTTTTTAGGTTTTAGCAGCGAACCCGTCAAACTCACTGATCCACGGTTTCCCTCGGTGCGAGTTGGATCGCTGCACTTTGAAACCACGACTCTGACGCACTAAAGAACTTTAAGGTCTGTGTGTCTAACAGCAGCTTTTATTCCTATCCTGCTCAGAGACCAAACGGATGATCGTGCAGTATTCCCCGTTTATCCAAAAACAGATCCAGGGTCTGCCTGTTCTCAGTTTTGACTCTCCGTGTCGTCCTCGGATGTTTCGGCCTGACGTGAACGTTGGCGTCCTCCCCGAGTAACACTCGGTCTGATCAGACTGAGGGTTGGACTGCAGCAATCGCTTCTCCTGTTTCAAACTGCAGTGAAGAGAAAAACTGAGCTCTGCTCCTCTTTCAGGGAGAAGCATCGCGCTACATTTTCCTCAACAAGTTCAGGAAGTTCCTCCAGGAAAACGCCAGCAACAGAGGGGTAAGGAGCAGCGAGGAACGCCACCCTCTCACGTCATGTCAGTGTTTCCACAGGTCAGTTTGTTCCTGTCTGTGAGCGACGCAGACAAACTGAAACCACAGGTTTGATTTCATGGAGACGTGTTTTTATCAGTGCGCTCTAATCACGGGTAAAGCCTCACGTGTGTGTTTGCACATGCGTGCACTCTGTGTGTTTGAGCAGCACCCCACGGCTCTGTGTCCGCCTGAGTACATGGTGTGTTTCCTGCACCGCCTCATCACAGCGGTCAGAGGCTGCTGGGACGAAGGACACCGCAAGAGTCCGAGCAGCGTGAGCAGCGACGGTACGACACACTGCGCCACAC